CAGCTCAGGAACCTAGGTTAGGGAAACCATATGCAATCAGGAATTAATTTCCACATAGGATGGTGTTTTCAATGAGAAGTAATATTAGGCAAAGACTGAAAATTGTGGTTACTGTGCTGTTATAGCATGAGATGAGAAAATGAAGTATGAAGAGAAGATAGAAAAGGAGAAGACTTGTGAACAGCTGGAAAAGTGTCTTGGAAGAAAACTGGAACTGGAAAAAAAGTAAGCTTCAAGACCAGGCAGAAGTTTAGTGTTAACAGTTTTTAACATGGCATATTCTATCTTGGACTATGAGGGAAGCATGGTGACTTTTGTGATAGATATCCAGATAGTGTTGGTCATATTTGGAACAGATCATTCTGTGTCCACCTCTTACAACATTCAGCCTCCAATGTCCTCAGAGAGTTCCTCTCAATAGCACAGCATGATGCATTTACTGGGCAGTGAACCTGATGCAAATCTGCCACTGCTGCTCACAGTCCCAGAACCCAGCATGAGTACTGGTAGAGAGCAAACATCACTGTCTTCAAGGAAGGTGAGAAAAAGGATATGGGGAACTACAGGCCAGGCAGTCTCAATCACAGGAAAGGTGATGGAGCATATAATCCTGAAAAACCTTTCTAAACATAAGAGCAAGAACGTGGCTGGGCATAGTCAGCAAGGATTTGCAAAGAGGAAAAAGATGCTTGAGCTGATAGCCTTCTGCAATGAAACTGAGGAACAGGGGATGTTTATCTTGACTTTAGCAGGGCTTTTAACACTGTCTCTCATAACATCATTATTGATCTAGATGTTGGGGCAGAGAGAAGACTCAGTAAGACTGCAGAAAATGAAAGGTTGGAATGAGTGGTTGACACACCAGGGAGTTTTATGGGCATTCAAAGGGACATGACCTGACGAGGTTGGAGAAATGGGCTGGCAGGAATCTCATGAAGTTCAATGAGGGGAAGTGCAGAGTCTTGCACTTGGGGAGGAGAAGTTCCATGCACCAATAGACTCTGGGAGATAACCAGCTGGAAAGCAGATCTGCAGAGAAGGAGTGGGGGACCCTGGTGGAAAACAAGCTGACCGTGACCCAACACTAAATAACTGTAGTAAAGGTCAAGAACCTCCTGCATTGCATTAAAAGTGGTGTTGCCAGCAGGTCAAAGGATATGACCCTGCCCTCTGCTCTACTTACAACTCTGCATAAACAATCAACAGAGCTGTAAATAATACGTGGGAATATCTAGATCTCTAGAAGTCCTTTTCAGCTCATCTGTTTTGTGATTCTGGAAAAGCAGAGTAACAAAGTACAGTTTTTAGTCTCTCCATATGGAGTAGAAGAAATCAGTGCTCTGGTTCACGTGGCAGTATCTATCCTATTAGCTAATCCATTGATTTTAACATAAAGCTCAGAAAAATGAGCTTGGCCCATAGTTCTCAGTGAAGTGACACAGTCACAGCTTTCCACTGCTGTAATGGAAATGAAACCACTGAAGTGGATCTGACTATAAAATAACTGATGATGTGTTGCTTTGCATAGAGGAAAAAAAAAAACCAAGTGTTTTCAGAACTAAGATCACTGCAAAACTGTGATGGTATGTGTGTGTGATGGTTTGAAAATCCTAGTAAGAAACATAATTGAAAAGAACGCCAAAACATGGCTAAAACTGCTTAATTAGATAGATTCTGTCCCACTCTCTGGTATTTATTACCTCTTCAATCCAGTGTATTATTATATATTCTGAAGGTCAGACTTCAAAGTCTTGCTTTAGGTTCTTTTATTTGCTCAAAATGGCCTGGTCTTGATGTCCTCTGCCAAATTTCTTCCTGTAGAGGGTTTTTCATCAGAGGGTAGCACATCCAGATGCTTTACGTAACACGGTTGGTTATAAAGCAAGAGGGATCTCTATAATGTTCCCCAAACTGGTGCAATGCAGAAGGATCTATACTAGCTGAGAATTCCCTGGGGACACCCAAGGCAAACAAGTGCCTATCATGTCCACACATTTCAAGGACATTTTTGCTTCTTTGCTGAGTAGAGGGTATCAACTAAAGAGGCAGAGGCTTGGACTCATGCCTCACCTCAGAGGCTAAAAGAAAGCTTCGTTGCCTTCCTCTGCAATCACTGGAGGAGGAGGAGCAGGGTCTCCCCTGCCTGTCTGTGAGACCCAGCCCAGGTCTCAGCCACTGCATTGCAAAAAGCACTTCTCCTTGCCAGCCAGTAAAAGCAGTGAAGAAAGCCTGAAGGAAACAGGCTTGACAGCCTTTTCATGCTCCTCCTGCATACGTGTATGTGGTTTTCCTCCACTGATTTTGGTCTTCTCATAGTGTTTGGCTTTTCTTACCTTCCTGCTCTGGATACAGAACCTTCAGCACCAGCCTGTACTGTGGGTCAGACCGCTTTTCAAAGTTCTTTTAAATACCACCAGGCAGTAACCAAACTACATCAACTATGTTGGCTTTACCACCATACCTTGAGGAATTTGGAGCCTGACATTCTTATTTTCACTCATGTTGGATTCTCAGCTATGCTGGCAAAAAGGATTGAAAATAAACAGGGAGAGAGTTTTGGTGCGGACAAGCATCCACGTCTTGGCTCCTGCCTGCTTATTAAAATAAACAAACAGTGTGTGATCCCCTAATAATCTAAGTATATCCTACAAAAAGCAAGTATTTTTTTTACTCAAGACTATTTATCTGTTTAGTTACTGGGTGTCAAGCTCCAATATGAAATGCAAGGCTGCATACAGGGGAGAGTAAATAATCTGCCCAGAACGATCCCCTGCAGCCCTCTGATAAAAGGAAATGTGAGCAGAGGTGCACCTTGACCAGCTGGAGTTTTGAATTGTGTTTGCAGAAGCTCAGGTTGCAGGCTGTGTAAAAGCTTTTCTCTCATAGTGGTTAGATCAAGCATTAGCAGCTGCTGTTCACTGGCGCATGTGGAATTAAAGCCAGTCACAGGTTAAAAAAAAAAAGCAGAAAGAAAAAACACATGGGACAGTGCAAGGAACAAGGGCTGGTTGATGTTATCACTCAGCTGCAAACAGCAGAGCAGGGGAGGAGAGGGAGGGCTGCTTATCCCAGTTAATCCAGCTTGCTGCAGATCCAAGGGTCTGTTTTGCTTTTAACTCCAGTTCCCAGAACAGTAAAACAAGGGAGGAAATAAGTAGAAGGGTCTTGGAGATGGGCAAGGTAAATAAAATACTATAATGGCAGTGTCCTAAAGGGAGCTAGGAGAGGAAACTGTAAAACATGTTCTCATGCAAAACAAATGGCTAGCTTTCCACCTTGAACTGCAATTACCTGATTCTTCCAAAACAAGTTTAGTAGCATTCATGTTAGGGGTGGTATTGCCTTCTGTTTTCTCCACACTTACCTGCATTAGAATACACAAAACTCAGTACTAACTTATATTTCAAACATGAATCCAGCCAAGCACTTAAAAACATCCTGAAAATGAGGCACATAATTAGTTCCACCAAAGTCAACAAACTATTGATTTGATTAAATTTTAACAGGTACTTGAATGCTTTGCTAGACTGAGATCTCCCAGATGCTTTTACTTGCTAATTCCCCTAAGTACAAACGATGCACCCAGCCCTCCTTGCAGGCAGTCTGCCTGCCAGCTGTGCTGTGCCTTGGGAGGCTCCTGCACACACATCCATTGTCACATCACGGCTGCTGCAGGTTCTCCCCTGGAACTACCTGTGTGGGGCACTGCCCTCTCACCTCCTGCAGTCCCAAGTGAGGTGAGCCAGGGTCCAAATACAGACTGGGCCTTGCTTTGAGTGATGAAGCCTCTGCAGAGCGCAAATGTTTCCGAGGTTGGTACCTTGTGTGTTGCCAGGGATGCTGGAGACTGCAGCCTCTCCATCTCCATGCCTGAGCCCCAGGGAGGGGCACCTTAACTGCCAGGATGGAAATGTCATGATTAGATAGTAATTTTTTCATGCAATAATCAAGGGAATTAAACACAGTCTATTCTTTTCCTTGGGGAGATAATACATTGACTTGACTTCATATTCCATTTGTGTCACAAATTGTCAATGACTTCTAAAACAGAAAAAGTAGATGTGAGCGCCTCCTCTATGGGTATAAATTCTGGGCAGAGTCTCTGTTGTCAGAAGTCTCCACTTTGGAATCAAGACATGGAGTCATTATTTATTATACTCTGAGATATTCAATGCTTTCCTGTACTTGAAAAAAAGAACATTTTTCAACCACAGAAAAATGATTGTAGGTGTGGACCAAAGCTGTAAGCTCCATTCATTCTCACGGCTGTCTCTATGAAATGAAGAAGGTTGTAAAGCTCCCTTAAGCTATACATGTCCTGGGCTTCAAAGCATGTACAGGAAACACACCTACATAAATACATGGATTTCTGAAGCCTCAGGTTAAAAATGTAATACAAGGCTTATTGACTTGGTGTATTATGCTCAGTCTAGTAATTCTGTACCATGCTATGCAATTAAAAATGTCAAGTTGCTAGGAGAAATTTAAGCTATCCTTCTCAAAGAAATACCCACACCATGACTCAGAATTGGCTTTGGGCACAGACAAAGTAGGGAAGAAGGCTGCTGGAAGGCAAGTCTGTCATAGGTAGCAGTGCATATACCACAGCTTTGAAAAATCCCTAAACATGTGCTGAATTCTAGATGCTTTTAATTAGGGCAAATGAATTAAATCTTGGAGTAAATACCACAATTGTTTGTCTCCACTGACTGCACATGGAGTTGGGGCCTGGCACTCTGGCCAAATTTCTCACCCTACCACTGAACTCAGGCACCACGAGTTGCACTGCCTACATGCTTTGTAATGGGTGCAAAAATAAAAAGTCTGTCAGGGTGTGAGTGTGTGGTGAGAGATATTTTTTGTAAATTTTTCAAGTAAGCAATCAAACAAAAATTCCTCAATGCATTGTGGTTTACTCTAAAACGTCTAAGAAAATCTAGATTGTTTCTGTCTTTGACTATTAAACTTAATTAATATGACCAAGCAGATGCAAATGCAGCAGTAAGCATTTAAAAAATACTGTTATCCTTCTCTCTGTTATTTTCCAAATTTCTTTCTCCCTTTCTGCCTGTATTACTCATTAGATTGTATTTCAGAGACCACTAATCAGGCTAAGTGCCCATGGCTCTCTAGGAGAGCTGCAGTTTAGGAAGCACCCAGTGCACAGCCCCATTTGAGCATCGACATGAAGTGGGGCATTCCAGCTAAAAGCACCTCCAGGACTTCTCACTGATAAAAACACACACACTTCTTGAAATGCTGATTGCAGTGCACAAGGCTTTCTGGCAGGGAAAAAAGTAGTCTTGGAGCTGTTATTAATTTTTCACAGCTGTTGCTTCTCAAATCAGATGCTGTAAGGATTGAAGAACAGGATTGAGGAAAGCACAGTAGGGTACCAGACCTACCTTTGCTCATCAACTCCGCGATCTCTAACCTCAGTGTGGCTGGCTGCTGCTGAGCCATCATTCATCACAGTGCCTCCAGTTCCCTGCACCAGCAGGTGCCAGTCCAAGATCAAAAGAAATCACAGCAAGTACAGTTTTTCTGCACTTACTGTGAACATGAAGAGGCATCAGAGCTGTAAAAAAATATGAAAAAAGACATCTTCTTTACCTTTCTTCCTGTGAGTTATGTGGTGACTCACAGATTTAAGAGAAACACACAGGGAAAGAGTAACCTCCAGCCAGATACATCTCAGCCTTTTGCTTGCAGGAAAAAATGCAACAAGGGGTTTCTTGGTGTTGTTTTCCTATCCAGACTCTGTCAAGACCTGTTTGGATTGCCTATTGAAAGAGCTGTGTGCTCAGCAGAGCATAATAATATTAATCTTCAGCACTACTAGAGTGCTTAACATTTTACCAGGGCTTCATAAATATAAGCTGAACTGCATTCATAACATTGGCTTGAGAAGTAGCAAGCTGACAGTGAGGAAAGATAGCAAGCATTCTTCCCCTCCTACACACTCGTAACAGCCTTACTCAGAAATGACAGGGTCAAAACAAGTATCCATGATCACAAATCTGGACAGCGGTCTGAATTCAGTGTACTGATGGATTTTTTGTAAAAGTGCCTTGGGAAAAAGAGTAGAAATATCACTTTCCATGGGTAAAATGACCTTGAAAAGCAGAAGCCTGCCAGGTGCAGAGGAACATGCTTCCCAAAGAGCTTGCAGGAACAAATCAGCCACAAATGAAACAGAACTGAAAGGCAGGGAGGATGATACGGGTAGATTTATACTGAAAGGCTTGATCCTGCAAAGATATATGGACATGATGACCTCAGTGCACTGGGGCTGAGCTCTGCGAAGCATCCTGTGGCTCCTCCAGGGCATTACCTGACAGCCCAGCTGCTCAGACACAGCTCTCATAGGGCAGGGGTGCTGTCCACAAAAATTGGATTCATTACCTGGTGTGCAGCAAGCCAGTAATTAAACACTCCAGTGATATTGATTACTTATTTCAGAGCTGTGCAAACCTGAGTGCTCCATGAAATTCCACAAAGCAAACACACCAATTATCAGAACCTTTTACTATTTATACATTTTAGCAAAGAAGTTACAAACAAAGGAGCTAGTGTTCATTGGATACAAGTTACATAGTTCTCTTGCTGATTAGTATTCTGTCTTCTATTGGTTAACAATTCTCCTTCCTCTCATGATAATTAGTTCCCATGCTCAGTGTTTCTCTTCTTTTGGGTCAGTGGGTTTCTTGGGTTGGTGGTCAGTGAGTCAGTGGTTGCAGACCTCCCCCTGCCAGAATTTCCTTTACCCAGCTGAAGTTGATTTCAGCACAGTTGCTGAGTTTGGTTTATTAGTTTCTGCCTTATCTTGGATATTCTGCCAGTTGTTTTTGTGGCCCATCAATTCTGTATTCTTTGTGCCCACTACCAGTAGGCATCCTTCTTCCTAAACTTTGCTAACATCCCCCTAAGTCTAAGATCATGTCCAGCCCTGAACCTTAACAAGCCACTTCTACCAACAAGTAATTTGCTTTTCTAACACAAGGATATTACTTAGACCCTGTTAGCTGCTCTCTTTTTAATGGTTTAAATCTCCCTTCTTAATGATTTGGTTTGAAAGTATACAAAGATCTAGGATTAAAAAGCATCCTTAAGAAAATTTTACATATTTCACATTTTGCAGCAATCCTGAAGACCAGGATAGGGGTTAGACCAACTGTACCCACGCATGACAAAGACTGAATCGGCTGATGAAGTAAATAGCCATCTGGAGGTTGTTATTTGGGGCAAACATAATAAGATACATTCTTCAGCCCTCCCTCAGTTGATTCACACAGCTAGAATAAGTAGGATTGACATTGGTATTATTTGTTAATTAAGTACATTGGGAAAATGTCTCTGTATTAAGCTACCAAGCTAAATCTGTAAAGTTGAAAACTGACAGCTATCTAAGGTGAGATGTTTCTGCTTTCATGACATAATCCATAGCAGTGATGCTGATGAATAGTCTGTCAGAAGATGTAAAAAGGGCCTAAATTCTGTGGCTTATTACTGGTTACAATAGCTACTTGATCGTTGTCTTAAAACTGAACATTTATTAAAGGCTTCTTCTCTCCCTGACTTCTGGAGTCCACAGTTTTTAGAGCTTTGCTGTAAGACCATTTGACTAAGGTGTCTCCAGTAGCTCTGAGCAAAGCCCTGGATGCAGAACAGGGTGGATGTTAACATTAATGTAGAGTTCAGATTGTTTTCCTTGTTGCTACAGGGTTGAACTGCTGTATGAGCAGTGTAGCTTTTTTGTTGTCAGGCATAAGACCAGGCATGCTGTTCCATTAGCAGGCTGCCTCTCCAGCACAAAAAAGAAGGAGGATAACATCTGCATTTTTCAAGGATCGGGGTTTAATCTGACCCCACCAAGAATTCTAACTAACACATTTTTAATCTGTTTGTTTGCACTGCAAGTAGAATATTCTTGTGTTGACCCAATTGAGATCTCCATAACTAAATGCAGGATTCCTCAAGCAGTCATAGGGGTCTGGTGGACCTTAAGTCCTGTGCCAGGCTCCTCATGAAATTAATCCCCAATTCCTTAGGAGATTCCAGGCTGTTTTCTCTCATAGCAGGGCTGGACTGATAGGAAGTGAACAAGCAACAGCTCTTTATCTAAATCACTGAGCTGCTGTGCTGGCATGCAAGGGAATAGCCTTTGCTCAAATCAAACAAGCAGGCCAATTAAATTGGTAGATTTTTCTCTTTGGAGAAAAAAGCTGTTACTAAAGCTCTAAGTCACAAGGCTGCACTCTATAAATGAGATAAGGCCATCATCTAGTCAGTAGGTTTGCCTTTCCTCTTGAGATATCACTGTGTTGTTGCCATGAAAGCACAGCAAACCAGGTTATTCCTTAGCTAATTTCTCTTTTTGCCGATTAAAACCCTCTCCTGTAAGGCCACTTTAATTGACAATTGCTGAAGAATGCTATTGTTCTCTGGTAGATTTTGTGAAGAAATATTGTTATCTGATAACATAAGCTATATCATAACATTAAATGCCATGTTTAAAAAGCTAATCCTCAAGTTAAGTGAAATCTCAGCTCATTGAAATAACAAGTATTAGCTTTGTCAGGCATCACTGCTGTAGAGAAAGGCTTGAAAATAAGTACCCCAAACATCACAAACTATGAAATAAACAAAACTAATTTAACTAGTTTGTACTTTAAAAAAGAAAAAAACAGATGAACAAAAAAACACCCAAACCAAATCAACCAGCCAACCAAAAAAAAATATTAAAAATTCCAAATTTCCATAAATATTTCTTATTTTTATGTCTTTGTTCTTTCATTTTTAGAAAAAAACTTCTCAAAAGGCATTGGGACTATTCCTAAAAATATTAATAATTTTTTTTCTGTTAATTGCCAACTAGTAAGTAAGTGTGTCACATTCTCTTTACACTGGTATTGCTATTGTTTGTAAAGAAATTAGGTGCTGCACTTTGGACAAATATACACCAAAATGTTTAAAGTTTCATTTTCTTTTACATTTGTAACTTAAAAATTCAGTTTAATTTCTGGATTTATTTAGGTTTTGCTCTCAAAATATTAATGTGCACTTTCATTTCATCCAAAATCCCTTTTTTATCCTGCAAAGGCATTTTGCAATTTAAGACTATTTCCACTTTTGAAAAACATTTATTCTTGCTATGTATTTGTACTTTTTTCAGTGAACACATGAATATCTTTCTAGCACTGTTTTGTTTTACTGGGAAGCCTGAATGAGGAGAGAATGACCATAATAAGAGGCAGTAGGGACACATCTGGGCTAAGTACAGGTTTTTTGGCAGCTGCTTACTCCTGCTCCCTTTTGTCAGTTTAGCTGGTAGAGATCCTGCCCTCAGTTTCAAATGTTTTATCCATGCAGAGAATTATGACTGCAGAAATTTATTACAAACCTTTTCCTTTGCGCTGAATTTTACTCTAACCATTACCTGACTTGAATGCGCAAATTTTAACATCTTCCCTTTGTTTCTCCAGTTCTCTCCTGCAGCAGTTTTCACATTTTTAACATCACCCAGCAGTAGCTGTCTACACACTTCAACAGGCCCAATACGAGGCTTAATTTACTGTGGCCAAACCAGCTTCTCTGTGATTTACATGTTAGCTTCAGGAGCTCTCTTTTTCTGGTACCTGGCACACATGGGAGAGGAGGTGGAAATTTTTCACTTGGTGTTAAACTGCTAGGTTTAGCAGGTTATCTGTGTCTAACAAGCCTGAGATGTATAATGAACTTGCTATATTTATAAGAATTCTAAAGGTAAAAACAGTTATTAAATTTGTTCTGCATGGGCATTGTACTGAGGAGCTTGGTTTTTTACAGTCATGCCACCTCCAGCAATAGGTACCAAAAAAGATCATGAGAGATCAAAAGCATATCATCAAGTGTAAAGCAAGATTAATGAATAATGGCATATGATTATCTGTGGGGGGGACCTTCCACTTTCTCCTAAAGTCCTGTAAAATTTGAACATAAATGGCATGACTGCATCAGCATCACTGACCTTCTGAGACAGTCACACTAGTGATGCCAATCTGTTCTAAGGATTTCTTGTTCTTTTAATCCCTTTCCCTTTGGTCTTTCATAAAGACATTTGTTCTAGGCAGGTCTCAATTACCTTTAATGGGTGTCTTAGTGATGTTAGTGACAATCTTATAAGTACCTGGATAAGTTAAGAGAGACTGTTTTCATAACGAACCACAGTATATTTGTGAAATACCTGTGCTGAAAACCTGCTGTGGGTTATAGTGGAAATTCAAGTAGAAATTCTGTTATCTCCTGCTCAGTAGTATATATGCTGTCTCTGCAGCAGGCTGGGGTATATCTGCTGTCTGAAAGCCAAGGACTTGCCATCCCTGAGAATGGCAGACTGTCCAAGTTAGTTTGTTCAGGAAATTATCAGGACCGGCTTGAAATAACATGGAAAAAAGGCCTCTTCCACAGAATTTCTTCTTAATAACTACAGGCAGCCTCTCATGGCATTCCTTTGAATTATCTCCTGCCTCTGTGCTGCAGTGATACTTTCCAAAAGGGCTTCTTTCTTTGCACTCACTTCTACAGTTTGGAAGTGTCACCTGGGCAGAACAGGAGGATTTCTTGCTTTTGTTTGGCACCTCTGGCTTGATCAGAAAACACAGAGATGCTCCTTAGGGAAGAAGGGTACCCTTCAGCACCCACTCCAAAGTCTGATTCTTTGGGAGTGTTGAGGGGTTGATTTTGGTGTGTGGATTTCATAGATGGTCTGTGTTTCTGCTGTACACTTGATGTGCTCAGGATGTCTACTTACTGTGCAGAACCAGCTCACACACATTTACTCCTCAGATATATTCAGCCCATGAGCTGCACACTGCACTGAACCTGCAAAAGTATTTCTGTCAAGAAAACCCACCTATCCTAGCGGGCCCTGAAGTGACCTTCACAAGAGTCAGTACCTAAAACTTAATTAAATTTTCACTACTTTTCTAGGCCATATGAAACCAGAAGTCATACCCTTCACAGAACTCAAATTCATCCTCAATGATCCATCACGCTTCTTCTTCCCGTGGGTATTCATTATTAGCAAGGGTGGTCTCTTGCCTGTCATACACTCTGCTCTACTGCAGTTTCTTCCATGTTGCCAGACTGAAAGAAAAGTGAATGAAGCTATTTTATTTTCTTTTTCAAGAACAGTCCTCTAGGATATAAAATAGCTTTTCTCGCCAGTATTATCAGAAATGACAGTTTGCAAAAGTCAGCAAGGACATTTTTTCCAGCAGTTTGCCAATTGTTTCTAATTTGGAAAGCATCCAAAAGTTTTTGAACTACTGAACCTAGTTCAATTTTTTGCACTCAAACCATGTCACTTTTATAGGTTTTAGAGGCAAATATCTGACAGGCTCAGTGCTAAAACCTGATGTTGTCACATGCCACTTTATTCCTATTGGGCCATTGCTGCCAAGGACTAGGATATCAACTACTGTCTGGCTCTTTCTTCTTGACACCCTCCCTTCAGATGTTTTAGATATACATTTAGATATACATTGATGACGGTCCCCTCAGTCTTTTCTTCTGGAGGCTGAACAGCTTCCTCAGCCTTTCCTCATAACAGAGATGCACCAGTCCCCTACTTTGCTGTCCTCCACTGGACCTGCTCCAGGTGTTCCATGTCTCTCTTTCCCTGAGGAGCCCAGAACTGGACATAGCACTCCAGATGTGCCTCACCAGGGCTGAGCAGAGAGGCAGGATCACCTCCCCGAGCCTGCTGGCAATGCTCTTCCTAATGCACCCCAGGAGCTTTCTTGGTCACCAGGACACACTGCTGGCTCAGGGACAGTTAGTCCCTCTTCCTCTTCTCCACAGAGCTGCTTCCCAGCAGGCTGGCCCTCAGCCTGTGCTTGTGCATGGGGTCATTCCTCCCCAGCTGCAGGACCCTTGCCTTTGTTGATTCCCTCACCATTATTTCACAGACACAAGGCTAAGGATCCCTGGACACTGTGACACCTCTCCCAGTCTGCAGTCCCATGTATTTGGCCAACATGGGCAGGCTGACCAGAAAGCCAGCAGGACAGGAGCATCACAGGGATGCACAGGAACCAGGTGGGTACCACGCTATTCCTTCCAGGCATATTCCCTGCTTGCCTCCACAACCCCTCCTTGGTGGCAACTGAGCAAAGAAAAAAAGCTTTACACAGATACTCTCCCACAGAACATCATGGGGTGGTCTGAAATGTCATCTTCATCTGCTAAAACAAACCTGGTTAAACACAGTGAGGCCTCTGCAGAAAGAAAAAACCAGAAAAATGTCCTGTATTCTGCAGAGATGATTAAATTGCATGTCCTGTAAGTTCTTCTTGTTATAATCACTTTTGATATGCCCTGTGTAACATTCATCTGGCTTTCATCCCTACCTCTGTCTACTGTTTGTGGTTAAAGAAAAAGTGATGTTTATTTTGAGCTAAAAGACAGCTTTGTTCCAGACCAGATGTCTCATTCACTATGCATATGTCAGCCCTGCAGGTGCTATTTCAGACTCAAGAAACAGCAAGTTTTTCAAATAACAATGCAATGTCAAGATATTACTTGCACAAAATAATAAAACACTTTCTCAGCTTCAGTCATAGCAAGTTTTTGGTTTTGGGATTTTTTCCCATGTAGTGAGTTACATGTACTTCCATCACTGTAACTGAGAACATCTCCACTGACTTCAGAGGAAGGCTTCTCATCTATGCTATTAAGAGTGAAATTTTAAAATAGCACATGGATATGCTGCACATTTGAGGGACTTGGCTGGTTTAACACTTTAATTCTTCAGGGACTGTCTTCAGAATTTCCTGTCTCTAATGCATTGAAAGAAAAACCAAGCTTTCAATGAGTCATTTAAGAATCTCAGCTATTTGGGGAGAATTTTTACTTCAGGGTTTCACATAAGCATTATGTCACTTAGATGTAAACAGCAGAAAGTATCCTTCCATATTTAATCCAGGTGCTACATCACATAACTTCTGACTTCTCCCTTTCACCCACCACGAAAGAACTGTAACATCTTCCTTCTTGGTTTTATAACACCTATTTTGGAAACTTGTTGATTTTTTTTGCAGTGACAGCTCACTCTCATTTCAAATATGAGTCCTTCTCAAATATCATCTGCAAGTGACCCATTTGTGCTTCCTTTCAAGTTGGTAAAATTTAGATTTTAAGATAAGAAGAGTAGATTGCCCCAGTGGTTACTAGTCATATATCTTTGCTTCACCTTAAGTTGTGTGACTGTCATAAGAGGTAAATTATTACGGTCCAGATCTACAAACATACCTAAAAAAGAATGTATATAGAACCAGGGTTTTCATCACCAGAAAGACATATCCCAAAAAGCTGCCTTATCCCACAAGGACTAGGAAAATTTTTGGTGTACCATTTAGTTATACTTCAATATTCTTTGAAGGAAAACACTGTTCTTCATCCATGGGTGGCCAAATCCAACATCCAAGCTTCCCTCTGACTGATGGGAGCTCTGCACACTGCATCACTACCCCACCTAATATGCTTTGCTTGTGGGTAGTTGGGGACATCTTGGGCCAGTTTCTGCCACAGGTCCAAGAGAAAACCTCATTAACCCTGCACAAGCCAACACTAGAGCTAGACCCTCCAATGAGTGTGCAGAAGGACAGAGGGGCTACCAAACTGCACTAAAACTGCTTGTGGATCTGAGGCACAGTATAAAACACAATGCCCTTTTATAACTGTGTTGCTGACCTGTTTTATATGGAAATTAATCTCTCTTTTTAAAGAGTTGCATATTTATAATTCACCTCAAGAGACTTATTAACAGGATCCTCAGTTATCCAGCCTCAGAGGTTAGTTGTAATAGCATGGCTCCATTTTGTTTGGATGTAGTCTAAATAGTTAAAAGTGCTTGTATGCTTGGAAGGGAAATAAGTTATAATATACTCTTTACATTGTCACAATTCCACCAATGCTCGAATATGGCTTTTGTTATCTAATCAATCATCTATTTCTTCTAGTTACCAGGAAGAGAGAGTCCTGCTGTGAGGTGACAAACACTCATCCTTTGCCTTCACTAGATGTGATCATAATCTTCTGAAGGTGCTTACTCTTCCTGGCTGACTTTAAGGGATGCCTGCTCTTCCAGAGTAGATATTTCTCTGCACTGACAGAAAGGGGAACTTAAACAACAAGTTGAGAGGTGGATGGCTGCAGCATGTGAAGTTTCATCTTTCCATGTGAGCCCTGTCCTCTGCATCTACCCTCAGAGCTGTGTGACTGACCACGACAGCTCTCTGAGAATGACCTGGTGATAGCTTTCATCTAATGCACAAGTCATTTACTGAAAGGGTTTCAACACTTTAGGTATATGGAAGTTTACTGGTATTTGCCCAAATGGCCTTTTGGTGGCAATTTTCAATGCTGATTGCCAGATACAGCCTTTCTGCTGCAATATATAGCTACAAAACAAGTTACAGAAAAAAAAATCCTGAAGTTTTCTCACTGGGGAAGGGTTACTGAGTTGAGGTAGTGAGCACCTTTTTGTGTGTAAATGACTCTCTCTCATATACTTTTGTTATTAATGCTGTTGCTGTTACCGATTGTTTCTCATCCCATTGCTGTTTGCCTTCAGGAAATTGTTATCTTGACCCGTTGTCTCAGTCCTTGTCCCTCTCTTGGAGGGAGGTGCAGGGAAGGGGAGCAGCTTATTTGGAGTTTAATTCCCACCTGGTTCTAAACCACCACAGGGACATATCCAGGCTTGCAGCTATTTTAAGGCAGTTATCCTGCTCTTGCTAGAATTGCTCAAGGCAACAGTCTTCCTGTTAGCAAGTGACTGAAGAGTGATCAAACAGTTTACAAATATTGGATTGTTCTTCAGTGCTGAAATTTAAATAACCAGTCTTATAATTATTCTGCTTTTCCAGTTCCAAAATATTTTATAAATACATCCTTTCCAGGTCATATAAATCAGTGTCACACTCAGTGTGCTCAGTGGTGAGGAAGGAACATCAGTTCATTTTTTCAGTAGTCATCCAATCTGTCTTTTTATCTTTGAAATAGGAAAGCGGTAGTATTGTGAGCACAAATTTCATGCAGTCTGTTCATATACTGTTGAATTTAAAGTTAAATTTCCCTGACAAACAATTCTCCACCATACAACTTACCTCAAAACTCTAGTCATCTCTGTTAAATAATCTGCACAATTACTGTTACATTAGGCTGCAGGAAATGAAGGAGTTTTAGACTGCTTACCAAACAGAAAAATTCAATCAGTACAACAGTAGTTCAGCTCTCTATTTCCAAAAAAAAAGAAAAAAAATAAATTTAAAAGGCAACAACAACAAAGGAACAGCAACAAAGCAGTCATAACTCCTTCTATAAAGATGACAGATTAGACACAGTCTGCCCATGAGCTTTGTTTCCCTTTAGGTAGAGCCCTTTTACAGTCTGTTACTGCAAGCAGGTATTGCCAGCATGTAAGGCACAGCTTTGCAAAGCTTTGAAAACTGGTGCCATCCTGGGTTTTCAATGAAATCAGGATGCAGCTCAGGGATCAGTGTGGTGTCAAGCTTCCATTAACTGTTAACTTTACTTGCTGAGGAGAAGAGCCAAAATGTGTTTCACTCTTCAGAAGCCAAAGAGAATGGAAGAATATGTGACGGATTGTGCATTCATGGTCAAGGGGAGAAGCTGCAGCAGGACAAACTGCAAACATTTCAGTTCAAAGACAGGACACAACAACAGCACAATGTGGAAATGTAGGTGGAGTCCAGTTGGGCTGATGTACCTAGAAGCAGCATCAAGATTCAGCACCATTTGAATTGTACTGACAGGACTGAGATGAGGAGAGACAAAGTTAAGTGCTAATGTAATGATAACTTTTTACTTAAAAGATCAAATATAAGAGTCAGCTCCTTAATTTGAACGCAGTGTAAAGGCAAGCTATAGATTTTTGCCTTCTCAGTCTCATTTTTATGCTGTTGTTCTTGGTTATCAATGGGATTCGTGAATAGGTTTTACCTCAGTTTAAGCTCTTTGAAAGCTGTTCATTATCTGTGTTTGTCACTCATTGGGAATTCCCAAAGCATGGCAAAAATCTCTCTGCTAAACTTCAAAGGTTGTTAAAGGTAATCCAGTCAGCCTAAGAGCCATTTATTTTCCCAAATTATTAAAAAATTCCTCATTACTTTTGTTGCTATGCAATTTATGGCAAAACTGCAGGCTAACTCTGATTGCAAGGATGGCTCAGGAAGGGTACATTGCTTTACCTGGCATTTGCCTTACCTGTGGTTCACTAAGCACGGCCTGCTACTCTTTAAAAGGGTGCAGACCTCATGCATAGTCTTTGGAAGAAAGGGCATCAACTAGTTTTGGCATAATCTGTACATAGCCTAAGCATTAATGTTGACAGAAATATCTAAAATCTCAGGCTATGAGATTTCCTGGGCAGTTCTGTCATTCAAGTACCAAATCTGAGGTACCCTAAGGATGCTCTTGCTTCTTCGGACTCAGAAGAAAAAGGTCAGATCTTTGCAATCTCTAGCTGTGTCTACACCACTGAGTTAAATAGTACAGGGATCATGGGTCCTGAGGCCAACTGGCAGAACACACCTTGCAATCTGTGCATGACTTACCCTCTTGTATTGATTTTTCAGGAACAGTCCGTGACATACATTGTGATCCAAGCTGGACCTGACCATTCCTTTGGAAGCAGGTAGTTTCAGAGATCTTGAGAACTCTGGGGGAAGGAGACCAAATATCTGTGGATGCTGCAGATCATGTCACTGGCCAACGCCAGACAGAGCAACAATCCGGACTTTGGGGATGACTTACATAGACACTCTGGACAAGTGGCCTGGTGGCAGAGCCAGCAGCCCATTCCACAAACAGATTTCACTCGCCAGACAGCTGAGCTGGCACCAGGCTGCAAGATCCAAAAGATCAGAAAAGCAGTACTACTGCCCCACAAGCAGTAGCTAGAGAGAACTTCTGAAAGGCAAAGGATCCCAACTCCCTTGAGAACATTATCCTGGATCTGGAAAGTATGTGCTCTACAATTTAAGGTTGCCAGTGACTGGCTTAGCACATGCTTAGTGTTATTGGACTCCTGCTGTCAGCCATGCACTCTCATCACCCACCAACCTGTCCAAGACAGCTTCTTCAGGGCTTTGGGGTAGCTACACAAACTTATTAAATCTAGAGTTCATCTTCTTAGATGAAAATTGCCCATTGTGGTAGCTGAACCCTTGCACTTCTGAGTACCCACCCTCATCTGGTGATACTGCATTTTCAGTCCCATCCCATGCTGGAGCCATTTCAAAAAGGTCATCCATTTGGCTAGTGAAGTACTGCTGCCATATCTTTTATGGCATGAATCAAACACTTAGAACATGCTCTAATAATGGAATAGCAATCAGTCTTTAGAAAATTCCACTGCTAACATTTCTGTATGGCTAATTTAAGTTGCTGAACCCATATATAGCCAGTAAAATGAAATGGCCTGATTTTCAGAGATGCTCAGTTCTTCCACATAAGTGCCTTCGCAAGACAGATGATTTACTAGGCTGTGCTGTTAAGCCTGTTAGCTGCTGGCTCTGAAGTTTCAAAGGCTAATCTAAACTGACAGAAATAGGCATTTTGCAGAGGGATCATCATAGAGGAGAAATATTTTATAGCCTTACACTGAATCTATATATAGAGACTGGGCTATCAGCCAGGGTGTGCAGTCCAGTACATTGTTTCTACCAGAAACAATTGATAAAGCCATTGATTAAAGATTTGACAAAGAAGTCATAGGTTTTTCTTTGTATGCAATTCCATTTATTCACAACATCAGTGACAAAAATGCAAGGACTCATGTTTCCTTCATGACACTGATTTAGCACAGAACCATGTAGACCTGTGCTCCTCTTTGCAGCAGCCCATTCAGTAAGACAAACCTCCCTGAGACTGGAGAGGAGGAACTGCTCCTCTGCCTTCCTCAAGACTAGATCTGCTTTGGAGTCCCTTACCTGGAATCAAATAATGCAATGAAGAGTCTTTCTCCTTGGTACCAAGCCCTCTCTCTTTTTTTTTAAATATCATGCAACATACACCCTTTTGTCTTTCCTTGCTCATTGCCCTGCTTCTTTCTCACATAATCAAATATGCCTTAGTATGTAGCTGTTTTCTGGAGGATGATGGTTGCCACTGCTATGTCCCCCCAAAGTAGAGTCATTGTCTGAGATGAGCAGTGGGTGTTCTAGCCTCACCCGTGTGTGCATGGAAATCTTAAGAAGGGCTCTCACAGGCATTACTGTGCCTTGGCTAAAGACCTCTCACCAGGTTCTTCCTTTGTGTGAGATGTCCTCCCTCCCATGGAATTCCCAGACAACACTCTGAATATTCACTGGCAGGTGCAAAATCGATTCAGGACCCAAAGTCAGTGAGAAAAATATTTGCAATGAGGCAAGAAATGGGGGAAAAAAATAATTTGTACCCACTCTAAATCAGAGGGAAAGGAAGCAAAAATTATGATTAGAATAGGGCATTAATTTCTTCTTAATGACTTGATGCAGCCACTGGTGTTCACTTTGTGACAAGGAAAGTTTAGCAAAATTGCAAATGGATAAGTAACTATTCAGTACTGTACTTGCATGCTCTTCAAAATTTTAATTATTCCAGTGAGGAGAGAAAATCTAATTTATTCTTCTCATGAGACAGAAAATGAGCAAAAGACAGACAGCAAGGTCTGTTCTTTTAATTCATTAATCTAGTAATCTGTATTCCACATTTTTGCGAATCAAATTTATCCTGCATAGTAAATGCAGCTTGGCAAGACTTCACTTGAGTATGTGTGATTTTGTTACTCTCCTTTCAGATGTTCTTGACCACTCCACTTTTTTGCAAACATCAAAGCAGAGATCACAGTAGTTTAGTTTTCCTTTTTTTTGTTTTGCTAGGCAGGAAGTGAAATATTCCATGAGTACCATCTGTGAAACAAAAATGCTGATTTAACAAATCTTTAGATCCTGTAGTCACTGGAAATCAGGGGACTCACACAGAATCTGTATTGCAGGTCTCTCCCAAACCTCACTTTTTGTGTATATAATAAGTGTAAGCAATCCATATCAGTTCTGTATTAATTTGGCCTTTTTAATGTTGTTTTTTTTTGCCTCCTTCAAGCCCCTATACAAACTGTGTTTTCAATCACTTTTACTTAAGCTACCTATATTTTCTAGTAACGCAAAAGTAAATGTTGCATGCATCCCTTAGTGGTACATATCAAATAGCTCTTTCATACAATTTATTTAGGCAGTTTTTATTTTGCAAAAAACCTTAATTCTTGCAGAGCTATTCAAACAGAGTGATTCAATTAGTTTCCATGATGAGAGGGTCTAGGAAATTTTTATTTCCTGGCCTCTTTTCAGAAGCAGGCAAAGACAAGAATTTTATATTTCAACCAGTGTACAAATTTGACATTCTTCTCATTTCTAGAGTCTGCCATAAAGGATTTGAACTTGGATCCTTGTCATCATACGTAATATAAGCGATAACATGCTTAGTACATCTAACATATTGTGGATACTGTATATAAACTATATAGTCAAACTATATAAGTACATTAAGTAAAAAAAACAAATTGCAAAATTCAAGATCCATGCACTGACCTGTAGTTAAAAGTATCTTCTAATATCTATAACAACTTTGTACTAGGAAATATATCAATCTTCCTATTTGTTCCTAACAACCTTTCCTTTATGAAACATTCATTGTTGTTGTGGGTTTTTTGTATTGTTTTGTTTTGGGTTTTTTGGGGGATTTGTTGCTGTTGTCGTTGTTGTTAATTTGTTTTTCTTTTTTTTTAATAATTATTTGTATGCAGAAATATTAATGCTATCTGTATATTTTATCTCCTAATCCACATTCAGGTTCTTGCCAAAGGTCCTAATCATACATATGTAGGTTAAAAGGCTTAAATAGACTGACTTCTATTCAGATGGTGCAGCCAGCGGGCCAAGGCAACAAATTGATGTAAGCATGTAAAGAATAATTCATATTGTAGCATACCTTGGTTATTCTGCCTAAATAATTCAACAGCATTCAGTCCAGTAGGGAACTTCTTGCCCATGAAAAAGACATGCTCTTTGCCCTATGAAACAATGGGACTTCATAAAGCAGAATCTTCCTGTAGGTAAAACTGGATAAAAAACTGGACTGGTTTAGATTTAAAAGGTTAAACAAGGATAGGAAGAACAAGAGAAAAGATTTAAAAAAAAAACAAAAAAGGAGACCACAGGAGCTAGAGGAAGACAGGTACCTGAGGTCATGGTCAAAAATAAGTCTCATTTGATATATTCTGCCAAATAATAAGTTGGCAGAATATTTCAAAACTTAAAGAGATTAACATCCTGAAGGTCTGCCTATCTCTTCTATCATCTTGTCTGTTATTCCCCTCTTTTCTCTGACATTTTTTTCTCTTTCTCTTTCCTTCCCCATCATATTCAGCTTGAAGCATATCCTACTTTAACTTCTTTTACTTCATCAAATACAGTAAAGGTGCAAATATGCATTTTATTAGTCCTATTTGTATGAGGATAGTTCCCTGATTTGAGTGTGATTTCCTCATGGAAACAACTATACTGGCATAAATCCATGCAAGGAAGAATTAGCATTAGTGATGTTGGAATATGTGGTTTTAAAGAAGCATGCCATGCTTTACATGGAGAGAATTATTGTGAGGAAACCTATTGATTCAAATGATATTGCTTATGTGAATAAGCTGCTAGGTTGGGCAATCTGTTGTGCAAAAAACACTCTCTTCCTCTTGACTATAAAGAGAGCACTGACTGTGAGCCATAGGTTCATCATACTCATGAATACAAAACACTACTTTTACAAAGAAGTCATGCACACCGGGTTGGGAATATAAAGCATCTTATGTAAGCATCAATATCTTATATGGATACTTAATTTGCAGGGTTTCCATCCTGTTTATATTGGGCATCTGGTGTTTTGATTTGTCAGAGAAGATCATTCTAGGAAGGATGTAAAATCTTCCTACCATTTGTTCATATAATGTTTGTCCCTCTCATTTTCAAACCCTAGAATCATTATTTATAGATAAAGGAAATCTGAATTATTGCACAAGAATGAGAGTGTTCTTCATTTGTTCATAATTTATTCTCATCCTGCTGCCACTTTTGGCAGTTCAACCATTAGACACAGTCAGACAATAAGAGCTCACAGCATGATTCCTATCTGTAGAGTTTTGCTCAGTTTTTGCAATCTAGGCAGCAATATTCTCTTGTTAAATAGGGGAAAAATTCTGTGTACCATGCAAACATGTTTTTTAGGTCAGCTATGTGCATTATCTACTGTTGAAACAACTATAAGCCATATTTAACCAATGACAAAATCTGGCATTTTATCTTAAAATATTTTATGCTCACTCAGCTTCAGAACAATGTTGGATATGAGATAAGAACCAAAACAAAATCCACTTTTAAAATATTAAGTGTTATACATACATATTTTATCCTTGTAGTCATAGTTATGCTCCCAGATCCAAAAGAAAATTAACTGTGTTAACCGACATGCTGTCTAGAAGCTGACATTGTTATCGCTCAGTTATCGCCCAGTTATCACTCAGCCATCAGTCAGCCAGTCCTGGTGTCTGCACAGAGGTAACCCTGCACTATTGTCCTGTTGATCAATCTGCTAGTCCAATTCCTTTTCTGGAAAAAAATTTATAGGAAAATTTTGACAGGCAGTTTGACAACTCAAGTAAATCCAGGTTATTCTTATTTTACACCTCTAAAAAAGAATATTTCATGGTTTTGATTTTGGTCCCTGGTCAATTTTTTGAGGGATGGTATGTAGTCTGTAGGCAGCTTTCCTAATTCCCTTGCTGTGATATTAATCCTCCTTGTTTCCCTTTTTTCAGTCATTAAATGATTCCTGGTACTATCCACCTTGATAGGTACAAGGAGATGCTGGAATGTTTGATTCATCCCAGTGAACTGAGGGATAGTGATGCACAACCTTATTTCAAGCACTGGTAACATAAGATCTTGCATTCAGATGTTGCCAATTTTATAATTAAAAGATCACAGAAGCAGCTGGGTTGGAAAAGACCCACAAGGACCATAGAGTCCAACTCCTAGCCCTGCACAGCAGCATCCCCAAGAGTCACACCTGTGCCTGAGAGCACTGTTCAAACACTCCTTGAGCTCTGTCAGGCTTGGTGCTGTGACCACTTCCCTGGGGAGCCTCTTCCAGTGCCCAACCACCCTCTGGGTGAAGAATAATTTTCTAATATCCAACCTAAAGCTTCCCTGACACAGCTTCAGCCCATTCCTTCAGGTCCTGCCATGGGTCACCACAGAGAAGAGATCAGTGCCTGCCCCTCCCCTTCCCCTCATGAGGAGGCTGTCACTGCAGTGAGGTCTCCCTTCAGTCTCCTGTTCTTCAGTCTGAACAGACAGCTTTTAGACACTATCTGCAGAAGTACAAATTCTCTAGACTTTAGATGTACTTCAAAATGCTTTAGAAATGCAGAATGCAAAGGCAGACTTACAGCATGCATTGAAGTCTCATGCACTGTTTCTCAGGGGAAATCGCTGACATTTTTTGGGGGACTTCTACTGAGCAAGGCACCCCACTATGATGAACTTACATGGCAGATAAAAACCCAGGTTTAGTATTAGGGGAAATCTTTTAATGGCAGGAATAATGAAGCTCTAGAGGGATTGCCAAAGGATATTGTCAAATATCCATCCCCACAAATCACTGAAAAAGAGAAAAATTGCAGTTATAAGTGATCGTATCTGGGGGTAGCCAGCTGAACTTCATGAATACTCGAAGTCACCTCCAGGTTTATTCCTGTGTGCTACCCTGTCCCACAACTTACTATGAGATATATCAGCAGGATAAGCCCCCTCAGCGTGGTGGAAGTGTGTATTGCATCTTCCAATGTGCCATGTGAGGAGTCAGGAGATCCCCTGCAGCACTGGTGAGATGATCCACAGGCATCTCAAGCAGCCACACGGGAGTTACAAGCCATGTCAGCCAGGGTGCATTGCCCCTAGTAGTGAATCACCACCCTGGGAAGCATGAGGCACAAGCCAGAAGGACAAAGTTAGAGTTTAAAGCAGAATAATGGTGCAAGACTCTTCTCTTTCTCAGTATCAGAAGGGAAGAAAAATGTTGCCAATACATTTTGTAAGAAAGCCACTGACATGATAGTAGTAGACACACTCTTATCTGCACTTTCTGCACAGCTAGAGTGCAAGACAGATCTAGACTTCAGTTTTTCCTTCAGTTTCTTGCAGGCTTTGTTCCAATGGAAGGAAGTGGACTTAGAAAATTGAAGAGGAGCAGCAGTGTCAGAGACATCTATTAGGCCTGAAGAACAGTGATGGTATTTTTTAGAGGAAGTGTGAGAAATGAGGAATGAGCAGAAAGCCTGCACCATCCTGTAAATTCTTCAAAACAGCGTCCAAGAAAGTGTTTATTGCATGACTTTTCTATTACAATTAAATATAATGATGATGATGATAATGGCAAGGAAGTCCTTAATTTTAGCACCATGAGATAAAATGCAGATGACAACTGTTAGGTTGAGAGTATTTAGTCTTCTTTATAAATTGAAACACTCTGCAAATTCCTATTGGTGTTGTATTTATATCCTGAACAGATGGATTTCCTAGTCATCCTTGTTGTCACAGCCAGGATGTTAAGATTTGAGAAAACCCAGAAAAATTAAACACCAGGACAAATGAGTATCACTGGGGGAGTTTTGTAATTTCCCTTCAAAGTATAATATAATAAAAAAAAAATTGTCCCCTGACTGCTGCAGAAGGAGACAGATAAGAAGAAATATTAGGAAATTTACTTTGCCAAGAAAAAGACTTTAAGAAACCCTATAATGCAGGGCCAAAGACTTATATCTTATAACCAAAGATGTTCTATTAGAATACAGTATCTAATGCTTAAATGTTAAAGGCAGTCTGGTTTGAATACAGTATTTGATTTATGGCAGGTACAGAAGGGTATTTTCTGTTTCCTTTTCAAAGTAGGATTTCTGATCTGTCCAGTGACTGATCCCAAGATAAAGGACTGAATAGTCAAAGGATGACTAGGGTTACATTTCATGAAAACTGAAAGAATTTCTCAACACTAGCAGATTGCATCTTCAGTGACCAAGAGAGCAGTACAGCTCTGCCATGAAAGACTCATTAATCCATGACAAGTTCAGCAGCCTCATTAACTTTGCAGTGTCTGAGCCTAAGTGAATAAGCCAAGCTCACTCAGCCCTCTACAAATGCAGCTGGTTACAGTACTTCAACATTTCAAAAAAAGAATGAAAAAAGAGGTTGATCAATAATTACTACCCCTACAGTGAGACAGACATTAATTATTTTAGTCAGAGAAGATTGTCCACAACCTAAACATTTATTTTTGTTGCATTCTTTTTGAAGTATCTAGAGGCTGTGCTGTTGAACAGAGTAGTTTTCTTATTTTAGTCTGAAAAAAATGTAAAAGTGAAAAAAAAAGCAAAGGAAGAATAATATATTATTTCTCATAGACTAACTGGTTTAATTTCCCAGTTGGCAAAATAAGAAATAAAGCCATGGAATTTTTTAAATTAAATTTAAATTTAAATTCAAATATTCTGTATGAACACACATGTACATTTGCCACTATGATATTGACAATGAATAGAGATTTATAACCTTCATTAGAAATAATGTAAATTTAAATAAGTGAGCATAATCTGGTATCAGATAATGATATGACAGGGTACAGTTGCAAGTAAAAACATAAATTAAAATATGGAAGGAGACAGACATAGAAATCTGGCCTAATGGAGTAAACTCTGCTTTACATCTTGAACAAGTTTTCTGCAATAATTTCTGCACAGTGTTCTTGTCATCGATATGGATACAAACTTCACCAGCATACATCCATGTATTCTTGCTGAGTGCTCTATTTTTTTTTCAGGTGGCATTTATTTACACCACAGCTGTCTGCTACATTTTCTTTTTCAGTAAGTTCCTTATTTATACCACAAACATCCCAGTTTTGCTCTCAAAAGAGAGCAAAATGTGATTCCACATCGGATCAAATTTTTATGTCACTTCAAATAATAAGCAAGCAGATTGAAGTCCTCTTTAACATCTTCTTTCTATGTTTTCTCCCATTTCTTCCCCATATTTAAGTCTGCCTCAAACATTCCTCCCTCTGGCTTGAGGCCAAGCTTGTGCTCCAGGTCTGAGACAGTGTGACAGGGGAGGTGATGCCTTTCTCTGCAGAAACTCTGCACTTGCCATCCTGCTGACTCAGGGGAGATTTCTGTGTGGCTAGGTTGCAAGTACTGAAATTCAGTATTAAGCAACAGGATATATCAATTCACAGCAACATTTTAAGAAGAGTTTTAGAAATAGGCTACTAAACTCAAGTTTTAATAAAAGGAGAGAAATCAGAGGACAAAACTGTAATATATTGAAGTTGTCTTTACATTTCCTATTTCATTTTATGCTTGGTCATTCATTAATCTGGTGCAATAATGTATTGAACCATTTCTGTTAATTATGCATGTACTTTATCAATGACAGTGGTTATTGGCTGTTATTTTTCATGTGCATACAAATTAATAATAGAGATAAGAGTTGTCTTTTTTTAAAATTTTGACTTCTTAAGCCTTGTATAACTGTCAATTTTCCAAAGACTGAGCTTTCAGCACTTTCAAGAGTAACCATTATTATCAGACAATGCTCAGAAAATGAGGGACCAAGTTATCTTTTAACATGACACCACTTTCTGTGGGCAAAAGAGGTTATTCTAGGGCATAAGAAAGAATTATTGTGCAAAATTCACAAAGAAGGAATATGCAGGTGCTCCAGCTTAGATTAACAAATGCATTTTCTTCGTCAAGAAGAGGTAAAGTAATAATGTCATTGAAGACAAAGAGCCATTGGACAGGTGGCATCTGGGTGTGCTTCTCTAGAAGTGAGCTGCATGTTGTCTGGCCATATCTAAGTGGCAGCCAGGAAGACTTTCCATAACCTGTATGATTTCAAATGATTATTTACTGAATTTGGTATTGTATGAACTTCAGTTCCTTTTTCAAATCCTGTGAAAGAAGAATCAGGAAGCTCCTCCTGGCTGAGCCCCAGGGGTTTTGTGGGAAGAACAACCACACACATAATAAACAGAGCAAGAGCAGTAGTTCTTAAGGTATCAGATTCACAAGAGTTTCTGCTATGACAAAAGTTTTGTTTCTTTACATCCTCCACCCTCTGCATATTAGCTCACAGGATGCATGGCACAGAATCCTGATAAAATCCCATTGATTTGTTATGTATTAATGTTTGCCAAACACTAACCCACAGACTTGGGATAGAATTAATTTCTTCTGCCAGAGCACTTAGTCTAAATGTTGCAATAATCTAATGGAGAAAATGTTGATTTGAAGGTTGCCTGGAAAGAGGATACACATAAATACTTATTTCATGAATTTCAGAGATAACAATATGACAAAGTTATTCCAATAAAAAACTTGCCCGTTGTGGAAATGATTTTTGCCCCAGCATGGTTTCATGGAATCTGTAGAAAAAAATCTTCCCACTTCATAACAGAACGTGATGAAGAAATGAAAATAAGAACTTAAGTAAGAGAATAAGAAATCTTTAATTAAAAATGCCTCCTTCAGCATTTTGCTGAAATTATTAAGGGATTTATGTGAATTGCAGTTGTTTTCTTTGGCTTACAAGCTGAATCTGGAGGTTTTATTCTCTGATAGAAGTGGCTGTTGAAAACAGGGCAGAAATTATGAGAACTAAAGCACACAAGTTGTGACAGGCCTTTAATTATATCACTGAAAACTGAAAGGGGGAGGCAGGAAATATTTTATGAGTAATGTGTTTCTTACATTTTGGAGGAAAAGAAATAATAGAAATATGGTGGGAAATGCCATGATAGTTCACGTCAGAACTGTGAAAGATACATAACACTCTATTTTGGGACAAAAAGGGAAAAGATTAGCTAGAAAGAAAAAATCCTGTAAACCTGGCTCCCCTGTTCCAGTACAAGAACCCAAACCAGAATGTATGTTTTTCAATACTGCTTGTTGCCAACATCAGAATTTCACATTCTTGCTTTATCTTTGCTGATAACCAAAACCTTCATCATACAGATGGAGACTACTCCTCCCCGATCTTCTGTCCTACCTGGCTCCAACTCTCAGCATTATCTCCTCTGAGTTAGAGCCCTGTCCTGGGCAGAGGAGACACATTTCTCAGTGCCTGAGTATGTTGCAAACCCCACCACCTCTCTCAGCATGTATGTTTGAGCAAGAGAGACCCCCCAACCCTGCAGGCACGTCCCTTCTCCAAGAGGCCATCAGCATCCACCCTTGCTGTAGCAGCAGCCCCAGGTGCCCAGGCTCTCCCTAGAAGCAGAGTGGCAGCACCACTGGCCCAGTCCCTCTGCTGCCTTTGTGCTGGCCATGGACTCTGTCTGGAGCTCCTCCCTCTCCACCGACCCTGCAGCAGCCCAGGTGCCAAACACAGCGAGCCCAGAGGAGCGCTGGGGACTGGGCTGTGTTCATGCTGCCACAGATCTTGTTGGACACTCATAAGTAAGGGATGAGGAAATCTTCCTGTGTACACCAATGTGTGTGTGTTAATGACTGTAGCAATGGTGTAGGCTTGTGATCCTGTTTGGGAAGTCCCTTTTTTCTTTCATTTTGCAAAGGAAAATTGTGTTTTTATTAATCCCCTGAAGTACAAAGCGCAATGTGACTGGGAAGCCTATAGTGTGATTGGAGAGAATTGAAATCAAATATAGCAGAGGATGAGAAAAGGGATATAGAAATTGCAGACTGGGTGGACAGAATCAGTTTCTGAGTAATGACTGCTCGTCGGTCAGCCTTTTTCTTGTGGTCAGAAGCCACTTGATCCAAGCTAGCAGCTCTGCTACCTGTGAATGGTGGGTTTTGTCTGCAGGAAAATGTCTCTGCTAGAAGCTGGGACAGCTCAGTCACATCAAGTAGACTGGCTGATAGCAGCAGCAGCCCTTTCAAGAGCATGTGGCAGAAAATCAGAAGACAGCATTTCTGCTGCTTGGCTCTATGAGACCTGTCTCCATGGAGAGGAGACCAGTCACTTGCTAAGATTAGAGCCACCTCTGACTAATATTCCCTGCACACCCTTTAATGAACCCACGCGAGATGTCAAAATCCACATGCTGCGTTGACTCATCCCTCTGCAAAAGTAAGTATGCCCTGAACTGGGTGCATGTGCTGGTAGAGCTTGTGGAGAGCAGTTATCATCCAGAGACTACTGGGATGTTCAGCAATGCACCAGGGCATGGCCAGAAGAGCACCTGCCTGGGCAAGGCAGGGTCTGGTGCTTTGCAGCTCCTGGGACACTGCTTCCCAGGATTGGGGAGAGCACATGAGGAAAGGTTAAAGGGGCATAGCAAAGCACCTGCAGGTCCTGGTACTCTCTAAGGACATCTAGTAATTTCAGTCTTCATTTGCCCTGGTGCTAGTAGGCACCAGAGTCTCTCAGAAAAGCTATGCCAGCAGTGTTCATCAAGACCAACAGCAGGAA